AAGTGTTAAAAAAACGCATAGTGTGTACAATAGAATGGAGAGTCTAAGAAAATCAGAGAAGTCTAATGACAACTCAGTCAAGATATACTAAAATGCACCAAGAACTCACGTCCAGAACCCACATAGAGTTGCCTGGCCCTTGGGTTTGGACACTTGGATGTTAGAAATTGAGTTCTCCACTCGCTACTTTTAGGTACATGCAAGTCAATGGGGGGAAAGCAGATCCTCCATATTTGTTTTTTTCTGTACTTCAAGACTCTCTAGGATTTTGAAGCAAAGCTTGTCGTCTAGCGGCAATGAGTCAAACAAATTCTTTCCTGCAAATCTGGAAGATGATAGCAAGAAGCAAGCAGGCTTTTCAACAACATTGAGCTGTTCTTAAAAGTTTCTTAACCAGTGGGTTTAATTCATAGGTTCTGAGCACTTAATTCTTTCCCAAATTCCTTCTCTCCTTTGTCCCCTTTCTTCTCTTGACTCCATTGTCTCCTAACCCTGCTACATTCCTAGGAAACAAGGGGAAATGGCCCATTAGTGTGAGTGATTTCAGATATAAAAATCACTTCCATGAAATGTAGCCAGCCTTTTAGAAGGTTCTCAAATTATCAACATTTGAGAAGAAATTGATAATTCTGCAAAATCCTGGCAAGTAATACCTATCAGTTTCCTAACTGAATTGTTAATGCTCAAGGTTTTTAGTGAAATTTTGGACATTTAATAATCTTCAGAGTCCTGGTGTGTGGCACAGTAGGATAATGCACTGGACCGCAAGGTCAGTTTGAACTGGAATGTCAGCAATTCAAACTCACCAGCTACTTCTCTGAAACCCTACACAGGGTCACTGGCAGTCAGAACTGACTTGATAGCACTTAACAACATTATTCTTTAGGAAATAATTAGCAATGCCATCTTCTCAAAATTTTGAGTATAGATAACATATCAATCAAGTGAAATCCATTGCTTTGTTAAAAATGAAAAAAAAAATGACTTCTTTTTATCAAGTTCCTATCTTTATCTAATAAAAACTGAAATAAATTTAAAGTGTAATTTATACAGTAGAGAACTGGAGTATAAAGGCATGGGGACTAAGGGCCACAATGTTTTCATACATTTAACTGTTGATCTGGAGGCAAAGATACCAAAAATGCTTCTGTAACTGATCGTAAAATAGTCCCTGGGTTACAAAAGAGATGTCTTCTGAACTGTACATGAGTCAGAATAGGTGCACACAGTTCTTATTGAGCCCTACGTTAGTGCAAGTAAAGGCTCAAAACCTTTTCAGTGATTTAAAAGCTGCATATTCAGAAAGTGAAGGTTGTTGTGACGAAGAATTTGTTGTGAGTAGGGACTGGAATCCAAGTATGGCACTGTAGGATAAGCGCCAGACTGCTAACTGCAAGGTCAGTGGTTCAAACCCATCAGCCACTCATTGGAAACCCTCTACAGAGTCCCTATGAATCAGAACACACTTGAAGGCCATTAAGTAAAACAAAAACATGGCAAGTTCAATGTTTCCAAGTGAGGGCAAATTTACATAACATTAAAGGATGAGTAGGAATTGTCTGGAAATCAAACATTTGTAATCTGGGGACTGCTTGTGTTTCAGAAGTGTCTAATTTGGGAGAAAGAAAATTGTGTGTGTATGTGTGTATTTAAAGGGAGGGCAGAGGGTTGTTTAAATTAACAACCACTGTTTTAACAGCTAACATTGCCACTTTGTTGTTGTTAAGAACCATTGAGTCGGCTGGTGGGTTTAAACCATCAACCTTGTGGTTAGCAGCCCAGTGCTTATTCGATAGCACCACACCAGGATTCTAAATATTGCCCCTAACTTACTCTAAAGCCAATAATAATGTCTTTTAGTCCTGGTCCTAAATTGGACTCCAACCCTGAACTATATCAAACCCAGGTAGGAAAATAGGTCATGGGGTCATTTCCTGGGCTAATATTATGTTATCTCAAGAATGAGAAGCTTCTACTCCTGTTCCCATTGATAACAATTTAGTTCCACCACATCTGTACATCCCAAACTCATTTATAACTGTAGTTACATTTCCATAAGGAAGGAGACCAAGCATTGTAGGGCTTCTAGAAGCCTCATATTTTCCCAGGCAATTTATTCCAGGAAAGTGGGGAGGAGGGGGAATACAACAAGAGAGTGATAAATAGATACTTCACTTTTTTTTTTTCCTGGAAAGATCATTCCAATTTTTCTTATTTCTCAGAATTAAAGGAATGTATTTTCTTTGTTACCATGGAAATGACTAATAACATGAGGGTTTTTTTTTTAAGCTTTCAAATAAATTTTCTAAGACAATTTTTATACTTATTTTGATTCCACATTTGGGACTGGAGTGTTTGTGTTCTTTTAATTTCATCATTTCAGTTGTTAGAAGACTTTCTATTACATGTATGTTGTTGCTGTTGTTAATTGCCGTGGTCCAGTTGGTTTCAATGCATAGCGACCCTGTACAGGGTTTCTGAAGAGCGGCTGGTAGGTTTGAATTTTGTGGTTAGCAATGAATGTCATTTAATGTTTCTTGACAGGAAGGCGTTCCTTTCTGTAGCCTTCACAGTACTGCCTTTTTGGTGCCCTCATCTGCCCTCTGCCTCCTGAGTTCAGCTTATGAAAATGTGAAGGCTTGTTTACCTTCCACAGACAAGTCAACCCACTTACACAGGTGTGCCCCTGAGGACAGTCCATTTGAGTCTTCATAGTATCAACCAGCTGGGTGAGATCTGCAATACCTACTTAAATACTTGGATATTTCAAACAATGTGAATAAAATGTTGGAATTTGTAACTGAATTAGAATTTATCTTAAAATTAGAATTAGAATGTTTTGGCATTCAAGAAAAAGAACTCACCTAACATTCCTACATTCTTAAAACGTTTAGATGCATTAGAAAGTATCCCCAAACCAAAAAGCCAAACCCATTGCCAGAGAGCAGATTCTGACACATAGGGACCCTATAAAGGGCTAGCAAATTTTTCTGACTTGGGGCAGAGTAGATAGATATAGAAGAAGGTGATGTCAGGAAATAGTAGTATGCTATGGAATTTTTAATAAGTTGCTTATCAATCCTACATGCTCACAAGACTGATCTGACCTAGCTATCCACTGCTTAATGAAGGAGTTTCTTTGACTAGTCAGTCTTGACAAATATGAATGAATGCACACCACACTAACAATTATAGGCACTGGGTCCAGTCACACCAACCCATTTACAGAACATGAAATGACAAGTATTCAAGAAAAGCATATTGTCCTTTGAAATAACAAAAGCAAGGAAACACAACAAACACCTTCAGTGTTGACCTAATAATAAAGTAGTGTAGTTCCCTCATCTTCAATAATCGAAGGAAATCACTGATATAATGGGCTCTAAATATATGTGAATGAAAAAGGATAACAAAAGGTGACGATGTAAGACTAAACAATGTATTCTTCTACTTAAACATGTTAGAATTGTATTATTTCTTTTAAGATATTTTCTTATTTTTGAAAAAACGCAACAGCCTCATCTTGATTATCTCCCATACAAGTTTTAGTTTGTCTTTATTACTAAATTATGCACATGGTTGCCTACTAAATTGTACTAAAGGGAGCGAGGAGGGCATTCTCTACCAAGATTTAAAATACTGAAATATAAGACTAAAAGTTTAAATCTACTAAAAATACCATTGCTGTATTAATTCACTGCATATGAGGCATGTTAGGGGAATAAACATGCACTTTGACTATGAATACAATTTACTAATGCTGGAAGCAAAATTGTGAGGGAAAATTGGGCTTGCTAACAGACCATATTGTTTTGCAAAATGCAGGGGGACTTTGTAACTCTGCCTTACTCAGAAAGATTTTGTGTAGTCACAATAAATTTTATAGATGACTTGGTATTCTGAGGATAGTAACTTTGTACTAAACCAACAGATTAGGTATCATAGGATAATTAGCCATTTTAGACTTGACATCATTTTTCCAATTTGGTGTACTACCCTCTTGATATTGAGGTGGAAAACCACCACCAAAGACAATAAGAGTTTTATTTTAAATACTTGAAACTGGAACTTTGAGAATTTTATACTCACAAGGATTAAATTTGAAAATTGAAATGTTGGGCCTAGATTACAGGTATAGATGTATTTATAAAATAGTCCCCTGTTAAAATTGGTGGTGGTGGTGTGCTGTGGAGTCAGTTCCGTAGTTACCATGCATAGGGTCGTAAATCTTTGCAAGAGCAGAAAGCCTCATCTTTCTCCCATGGAACTGCTGGTAGTTTCAAAGCGTCAATCATTAGATTAGCATCTCAACACGTAACCACTGTGCTACCAGAGGTCACTGATTTAATTGGTTAAAATTTGGTAACCTTATGAAGGATAAGGGAAGTGAAGTCAATAGAGTTTGTGTTCAGATTGATTTTGTATAAGTTTAGCATCTTCATGATCATATCTCCTGTTTACAACCTCTAGCTGACATGAAGATGCCCTAAGGAGATCATCAATACTTTAAATAATGTATTTCCTTGAAAAATTAAATCCTTTACCAACCAAGTCCATAAATAATTTAGAGAAGTAATTTCCATCACCACCCCCTCCCCATGAGAACTAAAGAAGCAATTAATTTTCCCTTAAAATTAGTCTTTCCACATTTTTCAGTGCAATTTAGGTGGCGATCCATTACCCAAGTTAAATTGGCCCATATTCATTAATATCATATTCTTGTCTTTTATTTCCTTGATTTATGCTCATGGCAATAACAAGCTGAGTAGAGCTTAATTGAGAATGGGAAAGGAAGGCACAAGGGAAGGAAGACTTTCAGACAAAAGGTAACCATTTAAAACAGTGTGCGCAAATGAGTAAGTAAAGCTTCCTGGGGTTTTCCCTGTTTGAGTATCTTTAAGCAAAGCTGCTATGCGGAGATACACGGAGGTTACTTGTAAATGCTGGGTTACTGCTGAAGAAATAACTCAAAGGATAATTTTCAGAGCCCGACTCAATTGTTACTTGATAAACTCCTGATAAAACTCAGAGCGCACAAAGCGAGGCAGAGAATCCTTTTCCATCAAGGCATGGATTCTTTTCTGGGCCACGTCAAAGCTGCTCAGAGAAGGCTGGATCAGGTTCTTCATTGTGATGTCCTTGGTGAAGTGGTCAATGTTCACCTGTGAACCAGGAGACAGGGTTGCAGAGTCAGCCCCATGATATGGTTAGGTCAGAGTGGGAAGGGGGTCAGCATTTCTTACCAATGAAAGAAATGAGGAAAGTCAAGTCATAAGAAGGAAGAAACATTATTTTTGTTTTCGAGAACATGGGGTAACTAGAGATACTGAAGCCCCAATATATGTATATCTCTGATTAAGATTCAATCAATGTTCAGATATCTACCATGTCAGACCCTCACCATCAGCTATTCCATATATAGTCTTGTTTTAATCCTCACAACAACCCTACAGATGGTTCTTTACTTTTATGGCCAAGTAGATGTATATGTATATGGAGTCCTGATGTGGCACTGTAGGATAAGCACTGGACTGGTAACTGAAAGCTCAGTAATTCAAAACTACCATCTAACACATATTATCCATCAGCAACGAATTGTTTTTAAGTGGATAAACCTCCTCCAACTCCCATGAGTCATTCTGGCATATGCTTATCTGTTTGCCAAAGCAACAAATATGATTTTGTTATTTTTAAATATGGTTAATTTTCAATGTACAAATTATCTATTTATTGAGATGCACATGACCATTTCTCCTTTGTTTTTTTTAACCTTGTCTCCAATTTCCCCTACTGTATTTCTGCATCTTTTCATGAAAAATGAAGATTCAGAGAAGGAAAAAAATCTATTACTATTTGCTTGAGTAAATTAGTTATATAGATCAATCTGCTACTTATCAAAATTAAGTAGCAAATTTTTAGATGAAAACACAAGACTTTGAGTTTTTTTGTTTTGTTTTGTTTTTTTTAACAGTATCTGCAATGTACTAAATGTGCATATACTTGTATGCAAGATGTTCACAGTTAAGAAAACTAAGAATTATAGAACTATAGCTAAAGACTTACTCTAAATCACATATCTAGGACAGTCTGGAGTTGGGAGGTCCATTCCATTCATCTCATCAATGTTAACTGATTGCTTATGTGTCAGAAGTAGAATTCACATTCTCTCTGATGTACAGCTCAGGCTCGTTAGTCTGTAATACCTTGGGCTGCCTGCTTTTGGGTGTTATGCATGTTACTGTACTCCCATATGAGCAGAGAATATTTAGAATGAAGACTTGTGGTGGTGGTGGTGGTTATGTGCCGTGGAGTCAGAACCGACTCAGAGTGACCCTGTACGGGGTTTCCAAGGCTGTAAATCTTTACAGGAGCAGAAAGCCTCATCTTTCTCCTGTGGAACAGCTGGTATCTAAATTAGAGTTCATAGGTCCATGTAGTTGGGGGACACGATGTTTGCTTTAGCAACTGAGTCAGCCAAGGTTTTATTTATTTCACAACTCTGTTTTTAATGTCTCATTTTTTCATGATAACCCCCAATGTTTTAATAAGGAATCTTGAAACAATGTTCTCCAAGAGTTCAGAGCAATGAACACTTTGGGATTTACAGTTGTTTTAACAAGTCCACGGATTTTGTGAAAGGAATCAGGCTGGTAGCAAAGTAAGGTGGAATAAGGACTCCTGTTGAAGAGGAGAAATTTGTGTTTAGTTTAAAACTAAATAGAAATCTCCTCATAAATAGTCACAATTAGAATTTCCATACCGAGAGAAGAAAATGAAGGCCCAGCACAAATGGCATCTTGAATTACTAAAATATGTGCATGGGGTGAGACACTGAAGAATGGGAGAAGAGATCTATCAAATTTATGTCAAGATTAATGTCCACAGCAAGGTCAAGCCCAGTTCCTTAATAAAACCCCTGCTTTCCCCCACTATAGACGGGAGCCCGCTACTACCTGTGTCATGGAGGGAGCATATTAAGTATATAATTTGTCCATGCATTCACACATATTTACTTTCAAATAAAAAGCTCAATGAAGAATAATTTATAAACAAAGGAAAAAAATAGCAAATGGTGGGTCTGTAGGCTGCCTATTCATAGGACGTACTGAGATCATCTCTGTGCTTGACTCCAATCCTTGATGAAACAATTTAATATCCAGATTGAATTGAAGAGTACATTCTGGAATTAGAACACCTTGCCAAATTATGATGAACAGATTTTACTGTTCTGAATTCTGGCCATTCTGAATTTCACAGAAGGATTTTTAATCAGGCTTCATAAATAGCAGAGGAAAGCTCACGCTAATGATTCTTTGAAAGAAGCCCACATCTTGTCTGTAGTGCTCAATTAGTGGCATATTAGCTTCTATCATTCTAACATTATTGTCTTGCAATATTTTGATTTGAATGAGTAGATGCCCTCTAGTCCCAACTAGAGTATAAAATAGTGAATGTCAAAGGCATAGGGTGGGGACGGCAGAATGGAGAGTAGCAGAGGAAGAAATAAAGAACATAGAAAGAAAGAAAATTAAAGGAAAGGGAAAAGAAAGAGGAAAAAAAAAAAAAAGAAGATTAGTGGTTTATTAAGAAGCCCTAATAGCACAGTAAGGAGCATTGATAGCGTAGTGGTTACGAATCAGGCTGCTAATCTCAGGGTCAGCAGTTTGAAACTACCAGCTGTTCCGTGGGAGAAAGATGAAGCTTTCTGCTCCCGTAAAGATTTATAGCTTCGGAAACCCTGTACAGGGTTGCTGAGTCAGAATTGACTCCACGGCACATAACAACAACAACAGCAATAGCACAGTGATTAAAACACTCTACTGATAACCAAAAGGTCAGTGATTTGACCTCACCAGCTCTTCTCCAGGAGAAAGATGTGGTGGCCTGCTTCTTCAAAGATTTACACCCTTGGGAATCCCACAAGGCAGTTCTAAACAGTTCAATTGGAATAAACTCTTCTGGCAGTGGGTTTCATTTTGGTTTGGTTAGAAACATTGCTGTAGGTGACCTTGAGTAAGTTCTGACTCAGTGACCTTAAACATAATAGAACGAAACACTGTCTAGTCATGAGCCATCCTCACAATGGTTGTTAAGCTTAAACTCGTCACTGTTGCCACTGTGCCAATCCATCTCATTGGAAGGGCCTCCTCTTTTTTGATGACCCTCCACTTTACCTAGCATGATGTCCTTCTCCAGGGACTGGTCCCTCCTGATGATATATCTGATGTATGAGAGACAAAATCTCTCCATCCTGGCTTCTAAGGAGCATTCAGATTGTACTTCCAAAACAAAATTTTTGTTCTTCTAGCAGTCCGTGCTACTTCCAATATTCTTCTCCAACACTACAACTCAAATTCACCAATTCTTTTATAGTCTTCTTTTTTTAATTGTCCAACTTTCACATACATATGAAGCTGTTGAAAATACTATGGTTTGTGTCAGGTGCACCTTAATCCTCAAACTGACATCTTTGCCTTTGAACACATTAAAGAGGTCTTGTGCAGGAGGTTTGCCTTTATAGGGTTTCCAAGGAGCAACTGGTAGGTTTGAGCTGCAAACCCGGTGGTTAGCAATCCAGTGCTTATCCTACAGTGCCACACCAAGATTCCACATAATAAGGCACATAGGGATCACAGTTATGGATACTAGCTAACTAAACATATCCTGATATTGGTTTACTGAATTTGAAGGCTTAGAACAATCATCTCATGGGACACCATGATCAATTAGCATAACATATTTCCTGAACTTTATATTCTACACTCTAGTTTGGTGATGAATGTCTGGACTCTTATAATCTTTTGAGTTACCATCTAAGATACAACTACTGGTTTCTACTCATTTTGAGCAAAAGAGAAAGAAGGAAACCAAAGACTCAAAGAAAAGACTAGTCCATAGAATTAACAGACTAAATGAACCATGGCCTCATCTATCCTGATACCAGAAAAACTGGATGGTACCTGGCTACCACTATTGATCAGCCTGATCAGGGACACAACAGGTACTTGATAAAATGGGAGAAAAATGTAGAACAAAACTCAAATTATTTTGTCTTTAAGCAAAGTTGCTATGCGGAAATACACGGAGGTTACTTGTAAATGTTGAGTTACTACTGAAGAAATAACTCAAAGGATAATTTTCAGAGCCCAACTCAATTGTTACTTGATAAACTCCTGAAGTATGAGAGACAAAATCTCTCCATCCTGGCTTCTAAGGAGCATTCTAGAATTGGGAGCTAAAGGAAGTCAGCAAGTAGCTTGATATGCTCACTTGTGGTGACCATCTGGGTCCACTCAGTGAGAGGATGTGGGGAGAGAGGGCCTAAGTTTGAACATGTTGCACTGTTACCCAATGACCCAACTCACAGGGGTTAGGGATGAAAGAAAATGGTCCGGCTGGTCTGAAGTACAGGAAGGTGTGTGGACTCCTGAGCCTATGGCTGGTACCTATTGGCCTAGCTTGAGAGACAATAGATGAGCTTCTCAGAACAGGACCAGATGAAGTAAAATATGTTTAACACCATGAGCTGGCACAAATTGGTGATATTCTGCTGACTGGGCTTTGCTTATGGCTGCAGATGCTCAAAATTTCAACCAGAATGGAAGATTCTTGGACCCAAGGAACATGCTTATCTACTCATTGTGCTGTCTTGATACCAAAATAAAATAAAATAAATAATTAGAAACCCACTGCCACTGAGTCAATTCTGACTCATAGAGATACTATATACGGTTTCAGAGGCTGAAAATCTTTACAGAAGCAGCTTGACCCAGTCAGAGAAAGAAAAATAATAGTATGATAGTTAAAGTTTTGTGTCAACTTGACTGGGCTAAGATTTCCAGTGGTTTGGCAGTTGAGATGTAATTATTCCCAAGGTAAAATCTAATACAGGCATAGTTATAACTCTCTGATGATTGGTTATGAGCAGCCAATCAACTGAAAGGATGTTTCCTTGGGGTGTAGGCTACTCCCAATATAATGATCATGAGAAAAAAAAAAACTAGCTCTCTTTTCCACTGGATCAGAATCTTACATCTGGGTCTTCCTTCTTTAAACCTGAGCCAGTGGCCTACAGTATTGTTTGTCTGCTCATCTGCCTACCAGGCCCTCCTGCCTATTTTGGTTCACCTGGTCTGGATTTAGGGCTCCTGACTCTTCATCTGCCTATTGGGTCTGCCTGCCGATCTTGGTTTACCTGGCCTAGACTTGGGACTCTCCCACCTCTACAATTGTGAGCCATTTCCTTGATATAAATGTATGTATGGGTGGTAACAGACTCAATGGCACTTTACTACAACAATTATATATATATATAAGTTCACTGGTTTTGCTTCTCTAGACAATGAAGCTTAAGACAAGTAGTAACACTAGACACAGTGTGAAACAGCAGCAGAGAAACGGTGGCAGCAGACGGGCAGGAAACCAGAATGAGACAGCACAGTGGGCTTCCCAGTCTAGATCAAGAAAGCTTAGCACCATCAGGTTGAGGCTTTCTAGCAGAAAGCCTCATAGCTTTGTATCACTTTCCACGCAAGGCAGAGGTCAAACCTAGAGGCTGAGGGCCAGAGAGAAAGACCTGAATGTGGTATGATTTGAGAAGAGGCTGTTCTGATCCAAGAACTGTATCTGAGCATTTGATAATCTGAACCTTACTTCCCTATTTGAAAAGAATTTTTAATTTATATGAGACCAAATGGTTACCATTTACCCTACAACAAAGATGAGAAGATTGAAGAGAAAGGGGAGGTCAGGAAAAATAGATTAATGGAAATGGAACAACCAGAATGGAAATAATGAGCATGTTGATACATTGTGAAAAATATAACCAATGTCACTGTAAAACATGTATAGGAATTGTCCAATGGGATCATGATTTTCTATGTAAACAGAAAAAAAAAAATGCAATGAAATATTATGACTTTAAAAAGAGAGGGAATTAAAAAGAAACTAGGTTCAGAGACATTCAATAATTCATTCAAGGTCATACAAGAGGTATTATTATGACATTTTGTGTTATTCAAATGAGGCTCATATAGCTGGAAGCAGCCTGAAGAAGATCAAGTTTACATCTGCTTGACAATATTACACATTTTTGCCCTCAGTAGGTGCTTACTTCACCAGCCGCTCCTCAGAAACCTTATACAAAGTCACTATGAGATGGAACTGACTCAACGGCACTCAACAATAACTACTCTTAGTAGGAATACCTATACTATAGGCTCCAAATTCACAGGCATGCATCTATCTCAGTCCTTCCTGGGCAGCGGCTGAGCTGACCCACACTGCCTTTGCTCACCCACCTATGTCTCAAGACCAACCTCTTTAGGAGCGTCAGTTTGGATGAAATCTTCATAAATTTTCTTTGCCTTCTCTGCCATCTTGACAGGGGATTTGGTCTTCTTGTAATCCTCACAGGCAATCCAGAACTCCAGGTTTTCCTCACTGAACTCAGACTTCAGGAAATTTTTGAAGCTGGCAAGTCCATCTATAGACAAACAAATAAAACTGCATGAGGAAATGCATGTATGTTCACACATAATTATTTATCCAACACTATATTCCCTTGTAGCGTAATGGTTACGAATTGAGCTGCCTACCTCAAGGTCGGCAGTTCAAAACTACCAGTTGTTCCGTGGGAGAAAGATGAGGCTTTCTGCTCCCATAAAGATTTGCAGCCTCCGAAACCCTGTGCAGGGTCACTATGAGCCTCCATAATACTTAACAACAACAACAACAACAAAATATTCCCTTTTGGGATGTCCACCTGAGTTAATTTATGATTGTACCATTTTGTATTGGAATTTCTTCTGTGAAGCAAAAACAGTCCCAAAATGAAGGATCTTCAGGTGTTATAGGAACAGCGGATGCTATTAAATCATTAAAGGGCGGAATCTGAACTGCCTTTGGGTAGGTTTAGCATCATATTGAGATGAAACATCCTGATGTTTAGATCCATCTTGTTTCCCGATACCGACTGCAACAAAATGATGTTCATCTGTTTTACTTTCCTCAAACATCCATTCTTTTTCTTCCTTCCCATCCAGGAATAAACAAGTTTCTCTGTAAACTTGGCCTATATGCAGGTTAATGGGGATATATCAAATTCAAGTCATTGTAATTCAAATCCTAGTCCAACACCAATGTCTTTTATGAAACTTTCTTTCAAAGCCCAATTCCTATAAAACATGTCTAGCTGAGTCTATTCATCCTTAAAGCTTTTTATAACTTTGGTAAATTTTCTTCTCATAATATGGAAGAAATCTTAGATTGAACTGTGACCTGGAAAGGTAGTCTTCATTATATGGATTCCAACTTGTAGCTCAGGTTCAGAAGCAAGTACCGCATAGTCCCCTTGATGAGAGATGTTAAAGTTGAAATTGGGATAAGGATTCAATGAATTCTTTGCAAGAACTGGTTTTCCTTTTGCAGTTCTTTGCAAATGAATATTATTCCAAGGGCTATTAAATTTCTCTGCAACCAATTTCCTTATCGTCAGACGACCAGCCACGGCTGCTTTAGCGTCTTGGGCAAAGATGAACTGGCCAATGCCCTCCTTCTCCTCGGGCTGGATCGATCACAGCGCCACCAGCCACTCGGCTCTGCTTGGCAGTCAAGTGCCTATTCCTTCTATCTTCTTTTGGTGCTTTCTAGATCATTCAATCTTTTGCCCATAGTATCCTTCAATATTACAAGTCGAAGCTTGAATTTTTCTTCAACATTTTCAGCTTGAGAAATGCTAAGTGTGTTCTTCCCTCTTGCTTTTCTAACTCCAGGTCTTTGCACATTTCATTGTAATACGTGACTCTGTCTTCTTGAGCCGCCTTTTGAAATTTTCTGTTCAGCTCATTTACCTCCTCATTTCTTTAATTTTCTGTAGCATCTCTATACTGGAGAGCAAGTTCAGAGTCTCTTCTGACATCCATTTTTGTCTTTTTCTTCTTTCTTGGTTTCTTAATGGCCTTTTGCTTTCTTCCTGTATGATGTTGATGTTATCCCACAACTTTTCTGGTATTCGGTCATTAGTGTCTACTGCATCAAACCTGTGTTTAAGATTATCTCTAAGTTCAGTGGGATATGTTTAAGGTCATATTTTTACTATTGTGGACATGTTTTAATTTTCTTCAGCTTCAGCCTGAACTTGCATATGAGCAATTGATCATCTGTTCCACAGTCTGCTCCTGCCTTATTTTAGCTGATGAGATGGAGTTTTTCTACAGTCAATTTCATTTCTGTGTGTTCCATCTGGTGAGTTACACATATTTAGTTGCTCTTTATGTTTTTTTTAAAAAAGGTATTTGCAATGAAGTCATTGGTCGTGCAAAATTCTATCATGTGATCTCCAGCATCATTTCTGTCACCAAGGCTTATCCTTCCTCTTTGTTTCCAGTCTTTGCATTCCAATTGCCAGTAATTATCAATACATCTTGATTGCATGTTTGCTCAATTTCAAATTGAAGTTATTAATAGAATTCTTCAAATACATCATCATTGGCTTTAGTGTTCGGTGTGTAAATTTGACTAATAGTTTTATTAACTGATTTTCCTCGTAGGCATGTGGATAATATCCTTTCACTGACAACAATATAAGTAAAGATAGAATGTGAAATGTTCTTTTTGATGATGAACACAATATCATTCCCCTTCAATTTGTCATTCTTGGCATAGTAAATCATGTGATTGTCAGATTCAAAATGGTCATTTCAGCTCACTAATACTAGTCCATTTCAGCTCACTAATGCCTAGGATATCAATGTTTATGTGTTGTTCCCTTTCATTTTTGGCAACTTCCAATTTTCCTATATTTGTACTTTGTACATTCCATGTTACAGTTATTAATGAATGTTTACAACTGTTTCTCCTCATTTTGAGTTATGCCCCATCAGCAACTGAAGGCCCTGAAAGTTTTACTTAACGTCAGCTCTACTTTGATGAGGCAGCTCTTGCCCAGCTGTATTTTGAATGCCTTCCAACCTGAGAGGCTCATTTTCCAGCACTATTTCTGATAATATTCTGGTGCTCTTCATCATGTTTCAATATTAAATACTCTGGTGCTATCTGACAGTGTTCCATTGCTATTCACAAGGGTTTCAGTGACTAAATATTCAGAAGTAGTCCATCTTTCCTTCTCTTTAGCCTGTCTTAGTCAGGAAGTTCAGCTGAAATCTGTCTACCATGGATGTCTCTGCTAGTATTTAAAATACCAGTTGCATAGCTTCCAGAATCACAACACGCAAGCCACCACAGTACAATACATTGATAGATGAAGGGTGGTACCAATATATGTCAGGATAAGCATTGGACTGCTGGTCAATGGTTGGTAGTTCAAATTCCTTGGAAATTCTATACAGGGTCACTATGTATGTAAATCAACTTGATGACACTTAACAATAACAACTTATTAATATTGATCATTGTGACTTATCATCCTATTTTTTTCCTGCTTTCTACAGATAGTTTTTGAGGAAATAGTATGTTTCAAAAGGCGGTTTGGCAACATAGAGTTACACGTTTGGCTGCTAATCACAAGGTCATCAGTTCAAATCCATCAGCTGCTCCATGGGAAAAGCTGAGCCTTTCTCCTCCTGTAGAGATTCACAGTCTTGTAAACCTTTCCTGGGGTCACTGTGAGTCAGAAATGACTCTGTAGCACGTAACTACTATCACTGAAGTTAAGATGGTAAATACAGTACATCTGGTTCCTGCTCTAATGAAAGTTACAGACTCTTGGGGAAGCAGAAAGAAAATAAAGAAATGAAAAGCACATTGATACACCAGTCCAGGTTTCTTCTAACTTTCCCGCCCTGAGAGAGAGAGTTCTGAACTTCATTAGTTCTGCATAGGGAACGTTTCCATGTTCCCAATTCATTTTCTTTGACCTGATTTCCATCTATTTCTTTTTCTCTTGGATATTTCTCCAGACTCTGCTTTATACTCTAAATTTTCATTCAGTGGACCTATTTTATACAACAGGCACACAATTTTTATGATGATCAAACCAGAGATATATGGCTTCCCTTCCCTTTTCTTTTTCAATTTACCTTATGTACATTTTTACTCTCTCTACGTACTTCAGAATCTGTTTAACCCAGTTCATGCTAAAGAAACGTAATGGCTTATGTGATCATTACCATGCTTTAGAATAACCAGATATTTCAGAATACAATACAAGGCATTATGCATTTCTTTTTGTTCAACACCTAAAAATAGATCTGGGAGCAATGGTAGGTATAACACTTTTCTCTTGAAACTTGGCTAATGACTTAAAAACCATTTGAAAACTTGTAGCTGGATAAAACTAGGTATATTTTCCCTCTCTCTCTGACCTCCTTTCCAATTATATAAAGTAAAAGAGTATTTTAAAATATACCTCTAATTAGAGGTGGGCTATATAGAAAAGTCATATCGTTATCTTAGTTTCATTAAGGTAACCAAAAAAAAAAAAAAAATGTCCAATCAGAACTCTGAGTTTCCGGGGGATCTGCCAGGCCAGCCCAATTCAAGGTACTGCAGGGTATTAAATCTGAAGGGTTTTTGCCTGTGAATAACTTCAATCTTGTTGTTAAGTTCCGACTTCGGTTCTTCAGTTCCGACTCATAGTGACCCTATAAAAGGTTTCTGAGGAGCAGCTGGTGGGATTGAACTGCCGACCTTGTCCTTCAAAGTCCTGTGCTGATCCTACAGTACCACACCAGGAGTCCAGACCTCCAGTCTAGAGGAGCTTAATTCTATCTTGTTCCTAGGTGTAAGTGTTCAGATACCAATTTTTCTTGAGTACCTCATGCAGCTCTGTATGTCGTCAACTAGGTTTGAGGGCCACTTCCCCCAGCTGGTCCTTGCAGGAGCATTCCTGAAGGAACATCTCATACTCTGAGAGCCTCAAACTGTAAACTTTCCTATCTGCAATAGTCCTTTCTCTGCTTTCCGTAGATGCAGCTTACCTATGTGGTACATTGCTGTGGTTGTGGGGGAGATTCCTTTGTTCTCTGGGCTTTATAAAAGGTCACCACCAAGGACAGAACTTTGGAAACTCATAATATCATGGTATTTATGATTTACCTCATCTGGGTGATTTATGCTTACTTTTAAGACTTAATAAAGAGTCTATGTAATATTTACACTTTGAAGATTTAGGTCTCTTTTTCTCCCCTATATCAGAAGTCAGCTCAGAAGATTATAGTGACTGTGTTTTGGGATTCCAAAAGTAATCTTAATCGATTTTCTCTAAGGACACAAGATGATCATGTGGGTTTACGATAAAATAGTTTTAAGGAAAAGTCAGGAAAGTTACATCAAGGAATTTTTTTTTCCCCTATCATGACAACATACCTACTCATTCACTTAAAGTAGCAAGGGCTGTCCCTTACTCCATCCACACTTCAATCCTGATCTTGCCCTTTCAGAATTATTTTTGTTCCCAATATTCAAAGGGTGTGATTTTAAAGAGGAATATGATTTGAGTTGCTCAAAGATGGCAAAACTGCCATT